CCAAACCATACCCCCCTTTCTTACCATACACATACTACTGGAGGAGCCTACACATATACACCATACATTGTCCTAGAGAGAAATGAGTTTTTCCCCACATTTTTGCCTCGACTGGTTTTCCAAGTTCCATTTGGAGATCTGGAAGGAACAAAGGGATGGAGAAATTCAGAAGTCCCTCATAAATTTAGAAGGAGAATTCCTTGGGCCAGGGGCAATTCATGCCACTAATGAGTTTTCAGGATATCTTAATAAATATGGCAGCACCCTACCCACATACCTACTAAAGAAGGCTATTTAGACACTGAGAAAAGGAAGTATCTTGGTGTTTTATCCAAAATGCCAGGCCACAGTAGGCTAACATTGCCCTTGACCCACCACTGGCAAGAGTGGTAAATCAAAAGAAAACAACAACTGAAAAGAGTAAATATGAAAGACAAAAAGGAAAGCAAAGAAAGAGGGACCTTGGTGGTCTCTAAATTCATAGAACATTAACCAATAAACAAAAAACAAACCCACTGCTATAGAGTTGATTCTGATGCATGGAAACCCTATAGGACAGAGCAGAACTGCCCCATCGGGTTTCCAAGGCTGTAAATCTTTATGGAAGCAGGCTGTCTCATCTTTTTCCCACTGAGCAGCTGGTAGTTCAACTACCAACCTTTTAGTGAGTAGCCCAATGTTTTAACCACTACGCCATCAGAACTCCTTCAGAACCATTCAATTTAACCATCAAGTTTAGATTGTCTCAAAATTTTTCCTGGGACACATGCTTTATTTCTCCAACTGAATCCTAAGGACCCTAACCACTATCAGCCAATGAATCCGGACAGGCTGAACTGTCTCCCCCCTCCTAAAGAAACAAACAAACAATCACAGCAGGACACCAAAACCTCTCCTTGGTTCAAACCGTCTTCTTGTTACCATTTAATTTCTCTGTTCTCATTTAAAGCAAAGCTCAAAAGAATTATCTGTACTCACTATCTTTATATCCTCACTTTTCTTCTCTTGAATGTTCTCCAACCAGGCTTCCAAACCAGTCTACCCAAACTGCTTTTGTGGAATCCTGCGGTCAGTGTGACTTGGCCTCACAGCAGCATCAGACACAGTTGACCACGCCTTTCTTTTTGAATAGTTTTATCACTTGCATTTTGGAAGACCACACTCCCCTAATTTTCCTCCTATTTTATTGGCTGTTCCTTCTCAGTCTCCTTTTTTTGCTGGATCTTTCTTCTGTCTCTGATTTTGAAATGTTGTTGAAGCTCAGGGCTCTGTCCTTGGCCCTCTTTTTTATCTAAATCATTTGCTAGACCAGCTCCATTAAATAGAAATGTTAATATAATCCAAAAATATAAGCCACAGATATAATTTTTAATTTCCTAGCAGCCAAACTAAAATTTTTGGGAAAAAATGGCAAAAAGAAACAAGTGAAATTACTTCTAATAATTTATTTTATTTAACCCAATGTATCCCAAATATAGGAGCTCTTGTGGCATAGTGGTTAAAGCACTTGGCTATGAACTGAAAGGTCGGCAGTTCAAACTCACTGACCACTCAGTGGAAGAAAGATGTGGCAATCAAGCTTCCATAAAGATTCACATCCCATGGAGCAGTAATAGTCTGTCCTATAGGGTCACTGTGAGTCAGAATTGCCCTAACGTCAGTGGGTTTATTTTTTCTTATCCCAAATATTAGCATTTCAACACGTAATCAATATAAAAATATTACTAAGGAGATATTTTAAACTTTTTCCCATACTGAGTCTTTGAAATCCATTGTCGATTTTGTATTTCTACCACATCTCAATTCAGACCAGCCACATGTGGCCAGTGGCTACCATATCCCAGATGATTTTGTTCGGCTTTATATCTATACACTCTGGACTACAAATTGTCTATTGCCCCCAAACTCCATATAACCAACTGCCTACTCAAAGGCTCCACATAACAGCACATATCAAACTGATTCCCCCCACTCTAACTCTTCCCCCCAGTTTTCTTCATTTCAGCAAATACTACCCAAATGTTCAAATAGGAGTCATTGATAGCTCTTTTTCCCTCATGTACTACATTCAATCCAAAAATAAATCCTGTGACTGTACCTTTAACATAT